CAAGCAATCTCTTATATTATTCAAAGGTTAATATTATAATTAATGTTATAATAAACAGGAGAGAAATGAATAGCAGTAGTCACCATACATTATAGCAAAATGGAGAATAACATGAAAATAAGAGGGAAAGGGTATCTGTTATATAAGTTAAATCAGTATTTATAAATATTATTAATATCTTCCAGTAAAAGTATTTTAAATAAGATGGCTATAGCACGGTAAACACAATAAAAGGAGACACTGGCAAAGTAATATCACTCAACAAAACTTAGAATGTACAGGAAATACATTTATATGTAAAATCATATAAACCTCCCAAAGCTTATCTATCTACCACCACTTTGAACTTGACATTTCAAAGCTATTAAAAAGGAAGCTGAGCAGATAAATAGTGAGTGGGCGTTCCTTAACTGGGCCACCATAATTGTAATCCTATTGTATCATGTGGTCAGTGTAGAAGTAGGGACCTTTTGAGCAGAAAGATTTAAGAAAGGTCTTTTTACGTTTATATTGGAGATAGGTGGTCCTAAGTAATTTAGACATTTATAGGTTAACAGTGACATGAAACAAACAGTCAAACAGGTAGTTTTAGGGTAATGATGGATTCCATATTAGGAGTTATTAGGAAAGTGAGTAAACATACATCTGAATACTGTGTACTTTTACTACGTTTTGGGATATTGAAAACTTTGGAAAAAGTACAGAAAAGAGTACGAAGTACAGAAAGTACAGAGTTTGCATGTAGAATTGTCTGTTCCTTGTGATACTTTTAAATGGCTTAAGCCTCTCTATACTTTTAGGATTTCGATAATTTAGAGGTTTATGTACATTATACAGACGCCTCTTCCCATATTTTTGGACCACAATGTATTTTGTTTTTAAATTTAGGCCTCTATGTTCTACTTTTAATACTCACTTTAAATGGATATTTTATAGCATACAGGTGATCACCAGGAAAGTTAAATATATATTGTTCAACAGCGGGCCTATGTACCCAGAACATACAGAATATACCTGGCTAGACTATATAAAATATTATATCTACAAAAATAGTGGTAATGTAGTTTTTAACATTATACTACCTCTTTTTTTGTAATATAAATAGTATGTAATAGAGAATCCAGCCTAAGATATTTTTCCCCTCCTTTCCAGGGAAAGCAAGACTGCATTCCTTCCCATTCCATATGTTGCCATATGTTGATTACAAGACAACATCCTGCATTGCAGCTGAAAGAGAGAGGTTATCTTGGGAGTAGGGAGTGGTAGGACAAGCCACATGGGTTATATGATATTTTTCCTACATTTTGCTGCTGCCTCTTGATTAAAGAGCTGCAATTACCATATTTTTCCGTTAATAAGATGCCCCCATGTATAAGACGACCCCCCACTTTTCCAACCCAAAATTAAGAAATCAATAT